ATTGCATTACTAAACATTTTTTGTAGAGATTTCTAAAAACAATTGGTCAGGTAATGTTTTCATCTAGCATCATCATATTATATGAAAACATGTCCTAACTCAGCGTCTTTTGATTGGTGCAACTATAGACGTTCTCGAAAACCAAGTCAGACTTAATTCTTTTTTCTAATACCTTTTGCTAGCAAAAAGTGTTCACAACTAAAAAGTCAGTTCAAAGACTAAGATACTTCGCAGCAGTCATTGTAGAAGCATAAAATCAATTTTTTAATAAAACTATTTCCTATGAAACTACGCTTTAATCACGTTGTACTAAAAACAAAAAATTAATGCAGAATTATTGCATCATATATTAGTAGAATTTTTTCATATATAAGATATTTTCTATACTTTTCTTGACAAATGATTATTATTGTACTGTTATCCATTCTCACAATTAAGATTAATATTAATATGAAATAATTTTATCTATATGTACAATGTATTTCAAAGTTAGATATTTTTCAAGTATTTAAATAAAGTGATAAATAATTTTGGATGAATTCATTCTAAGATTTCATAATAAATGAAGCAAAACTACAGTATTGAGACTAGTTTTATTTAAATATACTGTCTGTACATCTATTGCACATTTTCAATTTACATTTTTTTTAAGAAAAAAAAAAAATTTCTTTTTTTTTATTGAGTTTGATTGTTAATTTCAGGATCGTCTAACCATTGTATTAATTCATGACGTATTTCATTTGTTATTCCATGTTGATCTATTTGTTGACATATTGAACGAAGACGTTGTACTTCTTCATGTAATTTAACAATTGCTTTTTCTCGATCAACAACAAGTTCTTCTAAATATTCATAACGAAGTTTTTTTCGACGACGACATTGTCGAGCACTTTCACGACTTTTTTCCAATTGTGTATTAGAATCAATTTTCATTGGTTTACGACCTCGTTTACCCATCTATGTGTGTGTGTGTTTTTTTTTATTAATATTTAAAATCTACAATAAGAAGAAAAAAAAAATTAATATTAAGTTATTAAAATATCATAATAATTTGTTTAAAATAAGTAAAAAATAAATAAATTTATGTTCGAATTTGAAAACGACCTTTTTTTACTGTTGTTATATATTTAATTCCTTTAAATGGTTTATATTCTTCTCCATACATATCAACACGTTGTACTCGTATACCTGATATAGCTAATCGATGAATTTTAAAAGAAATATTTAATATAGGATTTGATTCAGGTATTGATTGACCAGTTACGAGAAAAATATTACCACGTATTGTTGGTAAATTTGTTGAAATTTGTGGCTTAGTTTCAATTTTACCAATAGTCCAAACAAGAATTTTTTTTACAGGATCAAATATTGATTTACCTTGAGATGGTGTTAATGTACAATTTAGTACACTTTTTGGCATTGTACATTCAATAATAACATCTTCAAGCTGAACACAAAAACAAGATTAATTATATAATCGAATAAAAAATTAATACAAACAGATTTGCCCATGATTTGTTTTGGTTCAACAGTCAATTCAAATCGTCCTGAACTACCTTCACGATATTGTATATGATGTTTTACAGATATTGGAATGGATATAGCACTGAAAGAGATATAACAGAGAATGAATATTGAAAATTTTTATTATGAAAAAGAATTTTGTTTCAAATATTTTATATATTAGAAAATGATTATTTGATTGAAGAAAACGTTTCCCGGAAAAATACTAAATAGATCATTCTTTATGAATCATTTATTATATTCATGATTTTTAAATAATTTAAAATTAGTTTTCTTGCTGTTTAGTTTAAATACTAAATTCTTTTATTTTATTGATGAAAATTTAGAAAAAAAAAAATTTTATCAGTAAACAAAAAATAGACTATGTACTAAATTCGATATAATGAATCAAATAATTTGACAATTCTGTTATACTTATGAAGGTTACTTTGTGCTCATTATAAAGTTTTCTACGACATACGAAAGTCTTTCTTTTATCTACTAAATAATCTTCTCATCTATATATTATATCTGTTAGCATCCTTCAAAGACATAGATACAATCTGTCCTAGCGTACTGTCATAAATATATTGTTGACAGGCATGATAATTACTTGTATATATGCCTACAGTCAAACCCAAGAACAGACTTTTAATATTTCAAATATTATGAATTATATCAATAACCAGTCACATTACAAATATACAAGAATGTTTGTCATTGACAATCGAACGAAGAATGATTTTATCAATGTAAGGACAATTCAAAAATTCTTCATTCAACCAACAAAAAAAAACCATCCAAACAATTTGGATATATATCGAGTCTTATAATCATATAATGTCAATTCAGAATGAAAATCTTTCTCTATATCAATCAATTGTATATCAAAGAATATTCTATAACTTACTTTTGTATTGCAATATGATAAGAAATTAAACGAAAATTGCCATCAGGTGGAATAAATGAAAGAACATGTTCATTCTGAATATATATATATGATTTATTTTAGTTTTCTAATAAAATAATTATTCATATTATTTTAAAAATTCTTACTTCCCATTTTCTTAATCGTACACATGGATGAAAACTAACATCATCAAATAAGTTAGGATTTACAAAAGTTAATGTTAAATCAGGCATACCACTTAATTTTATACAACAATCAATCTAAATTAAACATCAATAAGATAAGAAGAAAACGAAAACCAAAAAAAAAAAACAAAGCTCTTATAGAATCATTAATAATTATCATACATAATCAACAATAGCATCATATGATTTTCAATACCTACTTGAAAGAATATTTTTTTATTAAAAAAATTTGTTATACCTTTTATTTTTTTTTTAAATTATTATAATAATATGTTTGTTTGTTTTTTACTTACATATCCTTGAATTTCGGACATAACTATTGCACCATGTTGATCAATAATAGCATCAATTTCTTCAACTACATCAAAAAAAGCTTCATTATTTCTATAATAAATATCTAATGGACGCCATGGAATATGTGATAATCCTTTCGATGGAAGAGTAGCACTAAAATTAATAATGAAAAAACAAAAAAATATGTATCTATGCAGTTTGTTTTTTTTAAAATTTACTTTGTACTATCTCTAGTTACAAAACTAGTTACTTTACGTAATAAATTTGGTGGTTTAATAAGTTCTTTAAGAATATTTGTTTCAGTCGCTAATGGTAAACCAGAATCAAGCATTTCATCTAATAACTATATTAAATAAAATTTTATTTAATAAAAAAAAAACAGTTTTTTCTTTTTTACTGTTCTTACTTCATAAACAATAACATAATTATCTTTAATTGATTTTTCTGTACATTCACCAAAATAATCTTCAAATATATCCATTATACGATGAAGAAATTCAATAACAAAAAGTGGTGGGACTAAAATTAAAAATTTTATTTATTCAAAAAAAAAACTTTTTATTATATACAACAAAAAAAAATCATTCATTAAATTTATATAGAGAGAGATTACAATAAAATCTTTCTCTCAGTGAACATTCTCTTATATGAGATAATCAATAGTCTATCGAAGTAAATTTCATTAGAAATAAGCTTCTCTATCAGAGATGGACAAAATCGCACCGCGCCTCCCCGCGCCACTGCTCGCGCCTAGGCGCTACGCACATCTCTCTTTCTCTTTGCTCTACCAATCAGTTTCTCAAACTCCACCGAATACCGGGATGCTCTAAGCATGCGCTCATCGAAGCTCAGACTAGTGTAGCGTAGGCGTGAGCAACGGCGCGGGGAGGCGCGGTGCAACTTTGTCCATCTCTGTTCTCTATTTCTAATGGATTTAGGACAATTGCTCGCCGGACAGTTGCGCGCGGACACTTGCTCGCTATAACAGTTACATAGGGTCCTATAGCGAGCAAGTGTCCGCGCGCAACTGTCCTAAACCCAGACTAACCGTGTACATTTAAAAGAGAAAGAAAAAAGATAATATTATACCATAGCAATAATGCTCGGTGCAACATCTTGTTATTTTTGTGTTAACATATGATATTATCCAACCATATCAATACATGTTGATATATATCTGATTAAAAAAAGAATTAATTTAATAAATTAACAAAAAAGAAACTTATACTGTATAGAACTTAAATATTTATATTTAAAACTGATAAACAAAATATAAGTATGAAATAGAAATATTTACCTTCATTAGTAACTATAGCAATAAAATAAAGATTATTTCGATATATATTTATTAAATAATGATGAGGTGTAGCAATAACAGGTGGAATATCTTCAGGATTAACACACTAGATTTAAAAAAAAAATATAATTTTATCATAAACAAAAAAATTTTTCTGTACTTTTTTTTGAGCTTCATAAAAATAATCACAGATTGATTTACTTATAACTGTTTTCCAATGTTTTTCCATAAAAGCATCTCTAAAATAAAATCAAAATATTTAATGATACTTTTTTTTTGTTTTTCATTTTGAAATCTTCTTAACATAATCAATATTAATATTTACCCTGTTTCATTAATAATAAATAAACTATCAATCATATCTTTCTTTTTTTTTTTTGTTCTTAAATTTTCAATCTGTAAAACAAACAAGAAAATACAATAAAGTGTAACAAAAAATAATACATTATTTTCGTCAAGAAAAAATATATATATATTAGTTACATAAGTAAATCTGATCATAATATTTTTTTTTAATATAATCCTCTAATTAAATGGAAGATACAGAGAGAGAGAGAGACAAAGAAAACAAAAACAACCATGTACAAAATATCCACACACGAATATCAAAAGTATTATCATATAACGTGCGTATATCTAACAGCCAATAATGAAAAAAAAAAACAACAAAAAATATATCTGTATTATATTTTTTTTTGTTTCCGTCTTTTTCATTCGATACGAATGAACAAAAAAGTAAATATATGATTATTAACAAGGAAAAGAAAAAAAAAAGGATTGTCTATCAAATATTTTGTGTTAATCTATATCATCAATCAAATGTCATAGCTGAACGTGAATCAACATTATTAATAATTGTATCCATAGAATTAGCAACATCCAAATCAATAAATGATTCAATTGTTTTCGTATTATTTATAAGTGATTCTTCAAAATCATATAAATCTGGAAGAAAATTCTCATCATTTTCATCCATACATATTGATGTTGATGATGATGTTGAATAATCATCACTACGTTGTGATGATGAGATTGAATCATCATCATTAATACTATTATTTTCTTTTGATCTAAAAAAAAAAAGAAAAGAAAACAAATCATACTTAATATGTCAAATCTATTCTAAGATAAATATATGTCTCAATCAATGAAATATGATAGAATAAACTGGAAAACAAACTCATTAACATTGAATCAATGTGATTGGAGGAAAAGATCTTGATTTATTCTACATGAAAGGTGTTCATTAAGTTTTGATCTGTTTAATCAATAAATTTATTGATTAAACGGGTCAAAACTTAATGAACACCCTTTATATACGCGTATGGTTATATAGCGAATAGAAAGAATGAACAGAAGAGTTAAAATCATTCATCTAATAATATGATGTATGATGACGGGCAAATGGTTGAGTAGCATCATATACAAAGCTTCCTGTACAATATACTATACGCATAAGTATTGTCTGAAATAACATGTGATTACTAATATTCTGTTCGTGTAGATATAATCGGAAGCAATATTTGTGTATTCATTGAACAGGTCTTATGATGATCAGGGAAGTTCGAATAACTTCACAGTTAATTGCAAAAAGAAATGGTAAAGGAAGATTAAATACTCATTGTCGAAGGGCTGATTTTTCATACATCTTTTCTTATTAGATATTAATAAGTATAAAATCATTGTATTTTGTTTATTAGTAAACAGATAAACTAGGATATTTCATTTTCTCTTTTTACATATCAAATCAAGATCTTTTTCTCTAATTTTGTTCATTCAACGTTAATGAATTTTTTCCAAGATCATTTCCTCATAATTTGTACTCGGAAAAAAAACGAGATCAATTCCCCTATTTTTTTTTCGAGATCATTTCAGTGTTGTCCAAAGAAACTAATATTTAATAGATAGGAAAATTTTTTTCTTTCATCAGAGTAAATATTGTTTGTTTCTACGATGATTGACATCAATGAAACACACATAGTTTTTTAGAACTGATTAATTATGATTACTGTGAGATATCTCAGAGATTTTTTTCAGCATATTCATAAATCATTAGGTTCTATCTGATGGATATACTTCTGGCTAGCGGCGAAACCAGGATTTTAACATTGGAGGGGCTCAGCTGGTCGATCTCTAAGTTGGCGGTGGAGCTTAGCCCCACCTGGCCACCCCGTGTGGTTACGCCACTTCCTGACTTGGGAAGTAATTAATTAGTAGAAGATGAATATGCGAGAAAATTTACTTTTCTTCTGATTACAATCCTGATTTGAACAGAACCGAAATTATTTTATTCATGTTTATACTATACACCATAAAAAAATGTTTTTTATGTGAAAAACATTATTTGATTATGTAGTAAAGAGAAAATCTTTAGATCTTACAACAAGATTGCAAATTAGTTTTGACATGAAAAACTTATTCGTAATCTTTTAAGAAGATTAACTAAACATGTTTTATTATTCGAAATGAAACACATTTTATGTATGTTAAAAATAATCCACCGGACATATTTCATCAACTTATTTGTATATTAGTTTTTATACAGATATAAGAAACAAGCGTTTGTATTCGAGTCAGAATTATTTTTTTCTTGAAATCACATACTTATCTCCACTAAATTCATGAAGTTTTCGACGCCATGCTTTAATAGCACCATCAAAACCACGTCGAGACATTTTTGCATATTTACATGGTGTACGTGGATGTTGTCGCATACGATATTTTCTTTTTAATAATAAGAAAATAAATACATATAATAATAAAATTAATATATATTGTTTTTTTGATTTACCGAGGTATATTCAATATATAATTTTCATATATTTTTGATAATTTTCCTTTACTAATTTCTTTTTGTCGACGTAAAAGTTCTATGATTAAAAAAAAATGAAAAATTTTACAAAACAAAAAATAATTTTGAACCTTTTGGACAACATTCAATTGATGAAAGAAGTTCTTCTGTTGTTTTATTTTCATGTATAGAAAATTGTTTAAGATATAAAATAAAACTAAATAATTTCAATTAAAAAATTTCTTTTTTTGTTTAAAAATGATCTACCTATGTAATTTTTTTTCTTCTGCTTCTTCATTATCCATTTTATCACACCAATCTTTTGATAAAGATTTTTTTAATTCTTCTTGTTCTTCTTCAAAACTAAAAAAACAAAAAAAAATCTTTTGTTTTTTAATTTTATATATATTTCTTTCACCTTGGTTTTGATATTCGTTCTAATTTTTCATCATTATTTTTAATATAAAATTTATTTAAAGTTCCTTCATGAAATTGATCATTAGCATTTTCATCAAAATTTGGTTCAAATTTTGTTTTTCGATATGAACTTTATTTGAGAAAAAAAAAAAAGATTTATTATTAAAATAACAGAATTTTTCAGGATCTTTTTACTTTTCATCATTACAATTACGTTTTGAACGAAAACGTGCAGGACTTGGTGTTCCATTATCACTTGATTCATAGGTACGAGTTGTTTTTGGTGTATGTCGTAGACGACTAAATTTTATAAAGACAAAAAAAAATTTTTATTTTAAACAAAAGAAAAGAAAAAAACGTTCAAAATAAAAAATACTTTGGAGTATTGTATGTAGACATTGTTGTTGTTGTTGTTTTTTAAATACTAATCTATATTCTAAGTTAAATGAAGCAAAATGTTGTTCAAGCTGATATTTAAAAAACAAAAAAGGAAGACAAAGACGTTTTGCTGTTTTTTTTTTTTTTATACGATTGATGTGTATATGAACCAATACAATTTCTTTGATAAATGTTAATAAGACGCTACAATCAATGATTTATATTGAATAGATAGTTACACCTATTGAATTGACCTTCTGTTCTTGTCTTATCGACTATCAATGTTTATTTTCTAAGAAAAAAAAAAAAGCGAAAGAGAGACAGAGAGAGAAAAAAAAAAAAGAAATTCTATTTGTTTTATTCATATATATATATTATATTTTTTTGATCTATTATATTGTCTGTGGTTATTGGATAAATTTAGAGTAAGTAAAGGAGAAGATTTTTTTTTTGTGTGGTTGTTCGTTATTGTTTTGATATTTTGAAGCGAAACGACGTAAGAAAAAAAAAAAAAGCACAAAACTCGAAGATAAGCTTATTGTTGCGTCTTTTTATTGTCTATTATTTTCTCTTTTTTTGTTTTTGTTGTTATAAAGAGATAGATGATCATTGTTGACAACTGCCACAGGCTCTTTTTCGTATTAGCTTTTGTTGTTATTATTATTATTATTATTATACACCCATCTGCTATATATTTCTTGTCAGCAACAAAAATTTACTACTATCTATTATTTTTGTATGCACATAGATATCTTTATATATATATAGTCAGTGAAGCAGTCTCAAAAGAGATTATGTATTCTCACAGCACAATTATCAGTATATTTGTTTATATACGTTGTAAATGAGACCGATACTATTCAAACAAATGTTCGAGTGTTATTTTGTCGCGCCGTCGTCGTCTTTATCTGTTTGTTTTCGGTTTTTTTATTGTCACCTTTAAGTTTTACGATGATCGTTTGATTTTAATGATGGCTACAACAAAGATGACAATATACTTTTAATCGCATTCTTTTATTTCCTTATTTCTTCTTCTTCTTCTTTTTTTCTTTTGTTTTTTACATCGTACATATCATATCCATAGAAAAAATGTCCATGATGTAATGCGACATTATTCTTATTTTAGATAGTGTCAGTCGTTGCTCAGTTATTTCTCTTACGTATGAAATGTCCTTCAGCAATAGTAGCAGTTGTTGACAGACACTTTTAAGAATCCATCTGTCTTATTATTATTATTATTATTATTATTATTATCAACATTCATATTCTTTTATTGTTATTCATTCATTCGTTAATATATTGGTCACCTGAAACTGCAAGTTAATTGTAGAGTAGGTGCTTTTTCAAGGCTTTTTTTTCTTCTTATATATATATGAACACCCAAAGAGAGAAGTAGAAGAAGTACAAAAAAAGAAAAACTGATCCATTGTATATGTGTATGTACGATGTATTAATATCCGTAGGCAAGTCATAGGAAAGAAGAAATGAAATGAATGATGCATGCCAATGCATTGACATTGTCAACTTTCTATTATATATTTTTAGTAACTCATCCTGTGAAGTTCTTTTCTTTTTTCAAGTATCATCATTGATTTGATTATAAAGGTCATGTTTATGAGTTCTGTGTTTGTTTTTTTTTTATTCTTATCCAATAGTAATAGAAAGTATTTGATGGTTTTTCTTTTTCTTTTTTTGTTGTTACAAAACTATTCAAAAAAAAAAGAAAGAAAGAAATGAAAATGAGCTTCAGATTGATAGTATCATGTTCTCGTTTTTCTTTTTTCTTTGATAGACATATGTAAATGTATAATATATATTATAGATCGAATGCCGTCGACATTATTACCAATATGCAACAAAATAATATTAGTAGCATTAGTAAGTGTGTTTATTTGAATTGATGATTTATTTTGTTTTTTTTTCTTTTTTGTTACAAAATTATGTTTAGACGGTAGTAACGAGATTGTAATTGCAAAATTTAATTATAATGCACAAGAAAATCATGAATTATCAATTGTTAAAAATGAACGACTTTTATTACTTGATGATTCATGTCTCTGGTGGAAAGTAAAACGTGTTGATTCTGATGAAATCGGGTAAGTACATAAGTAGAAACTGAACAGTTGATCAATATTAATTAAAAATGAGCTTTTCTCAATATATAAAGTTACTTTCTTTTTTCCCTTGCTGTTAGTTCACATAGGTACATATGTAATCGATAAGAATCATTCATTGTAAATCTCTCGAGGCAATCTTTGTGTCATTCTCTTGTATCTTTTTGTTTTTATTCTAATTTCATTTTATTAATAACCTAGCACGTTGTACGATAGATCTGAAAATTTAATGGACCTTGAACCTTGATCATGCATTAGAAAAGAGTTCGTTTTATATGCTTAGCACATTCTTCTTTTTTGACATTTGTAATTCAATGCAAATATTGAAAATAGAAACATAATAATAATAATAATAATAATAATAATAATAGAAATACAAATTAGTTTTTCTTTATTTAGATACATTCCATCAAATTTTGCTCGACATGAAAAACGTTCATTACTTGATAAACTTATCTCCAAACGTATCAATAAAAAACCACCGATTACAAATGGAACTAATAATAATGAACGTATACTTTCTTTAGCTCTTGTTAAATTTCGATATGATGCTGAAGGGTAACTCAAAAAAAAAAATAGAAAAATATTTATTTTTAATGAAATATATTTTTATTTTTAATTAATAGTGAAGATGAAATTAGTTTAAATAAAGGTATATGGGTTAATGTATTACAAAAGAAAAATGATGGTTGGTGGTTTGTACAATATGAAAAACAACGTGGATGGTTTCCATCAAATTATCTTATTGAAGTAAAACAAAAAATTAAAAAAAAAAACAATCAATTTTTCAAAGAAAAAGAAAAAAAATTTTTTTTTTTTTTAAGAAAACAAATGATGGTTTAAGTTCTCTTTCATTATTAAATCAATTAAAATATCATAATTCATCATCATCATCAAATGGTTTATCATCATCAAGTAGTGCTAATTCAAATATCATCGATATTAATCATAATCATCAACAAAATCGTCATAATTCTCATCCATCACATATAACAAATACAAATGATGAATATTCATTTGTTATGAAATCATCAAAATTTGCACATTCTGATGGTAAACTTGATACATGTTTAACATTTAATAATCAACAACAACAAGAAAAAAATAATTCATGGACAGCATTAATAAAATCTGATAAATTAAATTCAAATTGTACATCACCATCTATATTAAGTAATGAACCATTAACACTTATTGATGGTTTAACAACATTAACATTAAGAAAATCTTTGAATGATTCAACATATGATAATGAAATTTGGTATTATGGTTCAATAACAAGAGATGATGCTGAAAAAATTTTAAAATTTTATGGAAATGAACAAGGAGAGTTTCTTATACGAAACAGTGAACGAAAGGTAAACTTTAAAAGCTATCTTACATACTAATAAATCGTTCATTATCAAGAGTTTATTCAAAATTAGAAAAATCTTAGATCTTCTTTCTTGATATCGAACTATTTTACTATATTTTTGTGTCTATGTAGAGGTCTGATATATGACGATGGAACATTCCCAACTGTCACATTGCTTTTGTGTCGAGCGTATGCACATCATGTAGGTTCTAATGATTGATGAATACTCTGAAAAAAAGTTCGTACTACTAGCTTATTACTACCGAGATATTGCATTTTTACTGTATGTTTAAGCAGAAAGCCGTGATCCCCCTCAAGAACACTAAGAAAACTGAGTTTCGAATTTCAACTTGAAACTTTGCATAGAGATAGGCCTCAATGAGAATAGGTTATTATGAAAGTTTCAGATCTTTTGATTGCTCCTAGTCTGATATAAGAATATCGGAATCTGCTGGTGGATATCAACGATTTTACCATAACTATATCTTAGGATAGAAACAATGAAAAGATCTGAAACGTTCACAATAAACTATTCTCATTGAGGCCTATCTCCATGCAAAGTTTCAAGTTGAAATTCGAAACTCAGTTTTTCAGGGAAATCACGGCTTTTTTTCTTAAATAAACAGTAAAAATGCAATATCTCGGTAGTAATAAGCTAGCAACAGGAACTTTTTTTCAGAGTAGTCATAGATCATCAGAGCGTACATGATGCGCATACGCTTGAGTCAAAAGCAATGTGACAGTTGGCAATGTTCCCTCGTGAGTAGAAAGCTATGCGATAGTTAAAAAAAATTTCGAGTACAAAAAGGAAGATCAATAAGTGCAAGTCTTTCTAGAGGCTTTGCTAATGAGCGAAAGTGATTTATCATTTCTTGAGATTCTCTTGTAAGATTTTTCTTTTTTTTTTTTGTATTTAATAGATTGGAAATTATTCATTAAGCATTCGAGCTGATGATATAATACGTCATTTTCGTATTGAATCTACAGATGATAATACACGTTTTATTATTGGTAAACGTTCTTTTAAATCATTAAATGATCTTATTGAATATTATAAAATTCATCCTGTGTTTGATGCTGATCCAAATAATAAACTTTATTTAACTAGACCGTTGATTATTAATAATTCCAATCGTTAATTATAATTCAATATTTAATTTACGAAAATAAAACAAAAATTTTGTATATAGATTTGTATAAATATGTATGAAATAGCTCAATATATATATATAAGCCTCTAAAATGTGTTAATTGATGTTTTTCTTTTGTTTTTTTGTCTCTTCTTCTTGTATTTGATAATAATAATAATAATAATAACATGTTCGTTGCTTGATAAAGAAAAATTATACATTTAATAATAAATTGCATATTATGCATAGGAACTTCTTTTTTAATTTATTCAAAAGAGTCCACGGGACGTACCTATTGATTAAAATGAAGTATAACATTAATACTACCAATCGAAAAGGTCAATAGCCATTCAATCTCAAATTTCTAGACCTTCTATAAATAATTACGATAGTTTTGCTAAATTTTTATATCAGAGGACTTGC